AACCTATTAAAAAAAAAAAAAGCCCACTTCTTCTAAATGTTATTGTTTTAGAAAATAGTTATTTTGGGGGCCGGCAATGGCATAGTGGTTAAGGGCTCTGGACTCCCACATGGCCGACCATGGTTCGAGTCCTGGACCCGGTGGCTTGCTTTCTCACTTTCCCTCTCTCTCTCTCTCGCTCTCGCTCTGTCCCTCTCTGGTCAAATTAAAAATAAATAAATAAATAAAGTCAAATAAAATAAATCTTTTAAAAAAGTAGTTATTTACAATAAAACTATATTTTCTTTTTTAATTAATTAATTAATTTACATTCATTCACTGAGCATCATAACAGCATACAAAATGTGATTTCCCATTCGGAATATACTGCATTGTAGCTTAATCATACATGTTATTATCAGTAACTTTTCATTTCTAGTTTATATATTTATATATATATATATGTGTGTGTGTGTGTGTGTGTGTGTGTGTGTGTATGTATATATATGTATATATGTATATATATTTTCCTCCTCTTTTTCACCCTCTGCCATTGCCTACTCTCCTCCTACACTATCTCTGGTGTCTACAGTTGTTTTCCATTCATTTTTTCCCCCAGTTTATTGATTCACAAAATTTCTTAAATAATCTAACTTCTTTCAATAGCAAGCTCAGCTGATATATCTGTGAATTCATGTCTGACTTTTGGTGTGAAACTCTGAGTACAATGAATATACTATAAAGTAGCACTTAGCTGATGCTATATAGCTTACTTACTACGGTCATTAAATGGGTATTTTTTAATATATTTTTCAATTTCAAGAAAAGTAGTTTTAGCTTTAATAAATCAAAGAAATGCTAATAGAGCTTTTGCTTAAAACTTAACGTTAGGAAACAGGTTAGGATTCTGTCCAAACAGCAGGTACATGAACCTATTGGCAGCTCAAGACAAAACCAAAAAATTCTTAAAACCAGAAAACAAAGCCTAGAAGAAAATCAGCAATGTTTTAAGTCAAAAGTCATAAAATTGTATTTCACCAGTTCAGTCTCATGTACTTAATCTACCTTCTGTTGTGTTCCGATCTTCCGGATTAAATTCTGGAATATTCAATTCTAGACTTGTCCCTACAAATGAGTTGGCCATTTTCCCAGTTTCTGAATTCTTATTTCTTTGTGGCTGTATTTAATTTTCCTGGTAGAGCACTCCTCTCAGAATTTCTTGGAGAGCTGGTCTGATATTGGTAAATTCTTTCAGGTTTTGTTTATTTGAGAATGTTCTTGTCTTTTCTTCCCATATGAAGGATAATCTTGCTGGGTACAGTATTCGTGGTTGAAATTGCTTTTCCCTTAACACTTTGAATATATTTTCCCATTCTTTCCTTGCTCATTTTGTTTCCGATGAGAGGTCTGCTGTTAGCCTGATGGGATATACTTTGTAGGTAACTTGTTTTTCTCTTGCATATCTTAGTGTCTTGTCTTTGTGGTTTTGGTCAATCTGGCTATAATGTGTCTTGGAGAAGATCTTCTTGGGTTGATTCTATCTGGGGTCCTTTGTATTTCCTGGGACTGGATCTCTGAATACCTCTTTAGGTTTGAAAAGTTTTCTTGCATGATTTCATGGAATAGATTATCAATGCCCTTATGAGTCTCTATGTCTTCTGGGGTTCCAATTATCTGGATGTTTGGGTATTTGGTGAAATCTAGTATTTCTCATATATTATTCTCATTTTGGGAGGGCAATTTTCTCAGTCTTAGTGGTGATTTTTTTTTAGTCCAGCTATTCTACATCTGAGATTAGATTTTTTTATGATCTAGTCAGCTTTTAATACTTTCAAGGGAGGTTTAACTTCCTATATTATAGCCTTCATCTCTAACAGTTTCATTTGATTATTTTTTTATGGTGTGTAATTCCTCTTTCAGATCTTGTGGGAATTTCCTCACCTCCTGGAACTCATCAGCTCCTTTTTCTCCTGCCTCTTCTATAGTTCACTGATTCTTCTCTTCCATTTCTGTTAGCTTTGTCACTATGAATATTCTAAATTCTTTATTAGACATTTCCATGAGTTCCATTGTAATAAGGATGAAGAGGATTTATTCTTTTCCCTCAGAAGAGAGATATTTTCTTGCTTTCCCATATTTCTTGTGACCCTGCAAAGATTTTTGGTCATCTGACAGATGGTGCATTTCCTCCTAATTCTTAAAGTTCAATCTAAGCATTCAGAGGCATGCAGGAGGAGGTGATCTACAATCTCTCTTCTGTTCCATTTTTCACTCTTTGTGCATCAGATTCAGAGGGAATTGAGGAATATTCTAACCTTAATTGTATACAGATGTTTAGATGCTGTTCACTTGAACCTGTCTAGACTCTCACTGCATGCAGACAGGGCAGCCAAGAAATAAAGATAAACAAAAAAGGGAAAAAGAATTACAGAAGAGGAATGAATAAGAAAAAATAAAATAAAAAAGAAGAAAAAAGATGATAAAAAACTTTATGCTTTAATTTTAAAAAGTAAAAAATGAAAAGCAGTATTTCACAGCTCAAGTTCAGTAGCCATCTCAGGATGGGCCTGGGTTTGTGCCTTTCCTACATGAGATGGGAAAAGGCACAAATTAGCACAATAAAGGAGGGGCTTGAGAGCACAGAGAATACTTTACCTTAAAAAAAGAG